TACGCAATATATCATCGGGAAACATCAGCGTACACACCCACATGGTCAACGGGGCCATGGCCCGTACGCGCCGCATCATGGGCAATGACACGCGTCCTGGTCACAAGGGCTATCTGGAGGTTACCGTTCACCCGCGCTTTTTGGTGCCGTAATCGACGCCGTATCGGGATTTGTTGATACGGTAACGGACGCCGTAGACGGCATTCCGTTTGTAGAAACCGCCGTGTCCTTGGCCCTGCGTCCCGTTACCGGTGCACTAGAAACAGTTGACCGTGTGGTGAACGAAGTGGAGAATGTGGTGGGGGCTATCAACTACATTGCCGGAAATGATGAGACTGTGGAGGACACCGGGAGTAGCGGTGGGAGTGAGAGCTGCCCCGGTTGCCCGGCGGCCTGGATGGGGGACGGATTCTGTGACGACGGTTGCTTTACGGCATCCTGCGGCTTCGATCTGGGGGACTGTGACGGGGTGACTGCATCTGAGTCGGACTGTGCGTACGGATGTTTCGACTACTACATTGCAGACGGTATCTGCGATGTAGCATGCAATGTAGCCGGCTGTTCCTACGACGGTGGCGACTGTGATGCGCCAGCCAGCAAGTACTGTCACCTGACACACGTCAGCGACACGGTCCCGGGGTATCTAACCGTGGGTAACGGCGGCGATCTGCTCATGACACTAGAGAAGCCTACTGTGCGTTGGTACATTGACTACGTGAACACTGAGTCTTTCCGTCTGAGTCACAATGGCTTGTACATGGATGCAGGGTGACTGGAGCTCGGTACTGACGGTGACAACATTTTGATAGACATTACGAGTGACCTGTGGTCGGCCTGGTATTTTTCCGGGGATTATATCGTGAGCAGCGTGAACGATTATATTCTTGTGGACTACTCTTCGTTTGATATAGTAAAGTTGATGGTGCAGGGGAAATTCGAAGTATACGAGGATCATAAGTGGACATTCACGGATTGCGAGTACTAGATTGTTTTCATTAGTGTTAACTTAGCATACAATTTCTTATATGGTTGCGCTCCTATAAAGGCACTTTCTGCCTTGGATGGCAAATCCCATGATTTTTGCAGATATCTATCTATATAGCTATATCTATCTATATATCTATATATATATCTATCTATATATCTATCTATATATCTATCTATATATCTATCTATATATCTATCTATCTATCTACCCGTGTACTATCCAATCGTTCGTCTGAAGACCTTTCCCACATCACCAAGCACTGTCGTCTCTAGCGCATTGAAACATGTTTAAAAACGCATTCACGTCTCGCTGGAATGTCTGCTGATGTTTTCTGTACACGAAACTTTTTTTCTCGATTGTCTTGAAAAAAAATGTGAATGGTGTTGCGACACAACTTGCACAGAATCGTCTGCTGGTGTAATGTGCACGAAACTTTTTTCTCAAATATTTTATAAAAAAAATGTGAATGGTGTTGCGACACAACTTGCACAGAATCGTCTGCTGGTGTAATGTGCACGAAACTTTTTTCTCAAATGTTTTATTAAAAAATGTGAACGGTGTAGTTGAGTTCATCACTCGAGGCTGAATGATGAACTGTGGAAATTACTGTAAAAACAAAACCTATGGGCAAGTTCGTTTTCAAGGTGGCGTGCTCTTGACTGTTACGTATGTCTTGTTTGCCTCTTGAAATACTTCAGACTACTTAGTATTAAATGTTTCTTCGTGTAGATGTGACAACGTATCTGCCATCTGGTTGAACTTGCCAGGACATGTATGATGGAGAAGTTGTGGTGGAGTGCTTTTGCTATCCATTTGGCTAGCATTGGATGTAACGTCTGTTGGCTGTTCATTTGCGTGAGCGCTTTATGATCTGTCCGCAGCGTTATGTCCCCTCCTTTGATATATCCCCTTCTTTGATATTGTTCCAGGCTGTATACCAGTGCTAGTAGCTCTTTGATATTTGTGCCATAGCGTTGTTGGGCCGGGTTCAAGCCTTTAGCAAAGTAGATAATATCTCTCCTAACTCCATCGATGACTTGAAATAAATATCTTATGCCATAGTCACTAGCATCGTTCATGATTTGAAACGGTACCCCATCCACAGGTTGAGCTAGTGTCGCCGAACATGCGATTACTTCTTTGAGTTCCTCCCTCTTCTTTTTGAGTTTCGGTGCCCATAACATGGATATGTTTTGGTTCATTTCCCCTTTCATTAGGTTTCAAGAGTGTCTAGTTGCGTGGGCAAAGTTGACAGGGACATGGTCGCACATATAGTTCACGATCCCACCAATTTGTATAGATTTCCTTTTGTTCTGGGTAGTGACCAGTTCATCATTCTTTTCTGTTTTTGAGGATCAGCTTTGAGACCTTTTGTGGTGACTTTTACACCTAGAATGTTGACCACTTTGACTGCGAAGGTACACTTGTTGTGGCTGAGACGGAAGTTTGCTCCGTCCAACCTTTTTATTACTTCATGAACGGTCTTGCGGTGTTCTTCTTCTGTAAGACTTGCAATGACTATGTCATCTACATATGCTTGCACTCCTTTGATGTCTATGAGCAAGCTTGCCATGACTCTCTGGAATTGCGTTGTGAGTGAGTGTAAGCCAACCGGAGCTGACTTAACGAGTATTGCGCTCCTCTCCACGAGAATGTGAAGAAATGTTGGCTTGCTTTATCTACTAAGAAGTGATAAAACCCTCCCGCGAGATCTAGCTTTGAGAAGAAATGTGCTCCTTGTAGGTAGTGTGGTACTTATTTTATTTTTGGTAGCACGAGTTTAGCAGGCTCATATTGGTATTTGATCTCACGTAAGTCTAAATATGTTCTCGCTTTTTTGAGAGACCTGTTTGGTCATGTTCGCCGGTTGTTAACAATGGTATATTCACCGATGTCGGTGTAGTTCGTTTGTATATGTGACCATCTGTACGCCACCTCTTCACGTTTTCATACGTTTGCGGAATATACTTGTGAGGTACAAAATTGACTTTGGTGTGCCTCATATGGCTGACATTAATTTCATTTGCAGGTACTGTAACTGTAGAGCCTGGTAGGTTGCCAGGTACTTCAGGAAGTTTATTCGCATTGGTATCTAGGAGATTGGACAATGACTCTCTGAAACCTTCTTTTTCGTGCACTGGGTCTTCCTCATGTGTTTGAGTAGTGATTCCTATTTTGCATCTGTTGGTATAAGTGGATTTAGTATTTCCGCTATGTATATACCTATGTATGGTAGAATATCCATACCTAGTAGGATTGGTGCCTTCTTGTCTCGTAAGTCTAGCATTTCGAAACACTGAGAGGGTTTCCTCCCTCCAAAATAAATGTCACACACTTGGGTTGACCCTGTTCTTTGTATTCTTGCATCCGTTTGTGCTAATTGTATGTAGCCCGGTTGCGCTTTGACAGAGAGTTATAGTTCAGTTACTATGATTTTGTCCATATATGAGCGTGTCGTTACACCTCAAATGATGGAAAATGTTGCTACTAGTAGGTCTTCGAGTACTTATTTGTGATCAGGTTGCGCTTCAGATTTCAATTCGATTTTCATACTCTTTCATTCCAAATGTCAGTGGAGAGTCCGAGAATATTAAGTTTGATACTTATTTCTATGTATATACCTATGTATGGTAGAATGTCCATACCTAGTAGGATTGGTGCCTTCTTATCAGGCAAGTCTAACACTTCGAAACACTGAGAGATTTTCCTCCCTCCAAAATTAATGTCACACATTTGGGTTGACACTGTTCTTTTAATTCTTGCATCCGTTTGTGCTAATTGTATGTAGCCCGGTTGCGCTTTGACAGAGAGATAAAGTTCAGTTATTATGCTCTTGTCCATACTTGAGCGTGTCGTTACACCTCAAAGATGGAAAATGTTGCTACTAGTAGGTCTTCGAGTACTTATTCGTGATCAGGTTGCGCTTCAGAGTTCAATTCGATTTGCATACCCTTTTATTCCAAATGTCAGTGGAGAGTCCGAGAATATAAAGTTTGAATATGTATTTTTTTGTGGGAATGTTCACCTGTTCCCTTCGTGATTTCATTTCACCCATTACACCAGCCTTATCGGATGAATTTTACGCAACTATAGTATCAGTCGTGGGTTGTAGTGTCGACTAGACTTTGCCTCCGAGGGTTACGATGTTATTTTTGATAGATGGAACTCCTTGATGTGCCACATACGCAAGCGGTACAAAGGTTTCTTAATTGATAAATAGCGCACCAGTGGGGAGCCACGCGGATATATAAGTGCAAATTGGTTTTCTTGTAGAACAATTATGCGAGCTCGAAGAGAGGGCCCCGCCCCCGTCAGCATTTCCAAGAATCGAACACGATGTCCGATCGAGATTCAGTCTGTAAGAGCAATAATGTACCCTGTTTAGGATTAAGTATCAAATTAGAGGCAGGCACAAAAAAAGAAACTAAACTAATATGTAATAGCAAAAGCCCTGATAACAAGAAACATGTGCGTAACTTTTGGATTTGTAATGATGCGCAGGGTATATAGCAATTGCCACTCAAGCCTTTTGCGCATGGAGGGGGAGAATTAGACGGCACGCTATGAAATTCAATTTTATCTGAATTTTGTAGCGTACGCCAGCTCTTTGAGGGAAGCTATTTCAAAAGTAGATATAAGGCTTTGGTGACGAATTCCATCAATTCTTTAGCAATATTTATGTCTTGAATATATATTTTGTAGAACTGGGATCTTTCTCGCGAAGACACCTATATGCTTTTGGTGTATGGCTTTTAGTCTAGCAGGAGCCTGGTAGAAATAGTTGAGAAGTCATTCACCGTTACAGAATAGAAGCAGCCCATCCGAATCACGTAGGTTCTATTATATCGAACCAAAGTTTGCAGAAGGAAATGCTAAAACTGTAAAACTGTCATTGTCTTCTAGGGGTCGGAAAACGACAGTACTGCAATAAGCAGTGTTTTTTTTACATACGTCAACGCAATCAGACAAGTCCGGATCATGTAGGCAGAATTTATAGCGCAGCCCATTCATATCTCTTAATATGGCATTGTCGTAAACCCAAACCCACAAGCGGCTTTTCTTTGTATTTCTAAAGATCGCAGCAAAAAATGTTCATTTATTCCAGTGGCATGAACGGGAACAAAGCTCACCTGGTTCATCGATCCCCAAACCTACTATGGGCAAATGGTGTTCAAATAACGCCCTCCATCTACACAACAACCAACGCATTGATGACTAAACTTAATCGAGAACACCACACTTGAGTCTTGTCCAAAGTCGATACCCAGACTCGATGGGACTCCTTCATTAAACTCTGTGCTATCAAATATGAAAGCATCATCTACTACAATGTGCAGCGAGAATTAAAGAATTGCGCTCAAGATTCATACATCAGACTGCAGGACATTTCTAGCAAATATATATA